AAAAATGCAGTGACACAGATCACTATTTCAGCAGAGGAGGAATCTCAAAAGGCCATGTCGTTCTTTCCTCAGCCCTGCTGGAATGTTATAGGCACCTTTAGATCACCAAATATTTTATTAGAGTTCAATCAGTGTAAAAAATGATCAGTGTGATATTCTGAAAATATTGGGACTTCCTTAGAATCCTCCTTAGGAGGTTTTAGTAACCAGAAACAGCATTCAAGACTTTTCTTTACAAATAAAATGTGACCATGCGTGTGCTTAAATAGGTCTATTCCTTTTGTATAATAAATTGTAATGGAAAGCATTCCAAGACACTACTTTCTAGTCAGTCTTGGCTGTGTTTTTCTGATGTATTAGGGAAACTGGTGATTCCCAAGGAATTTACAGCAGATAGTTGAGAAAATGCAGACTTTTTCTTAACAAGACTCACATCCAAGTAAAGCAAATTCCCACCTTCCTATTCACTACATATCAAGGTTCTAATCTCCTCATTCCAGCATATCTTATTTATACCGCTGATGATTTCAATTTAATTGATTTGGATCTAAACTAGAGAGTGCAGGCTAAGTCACTGTCTTTTACATGGAAGCAGTTATGACATGACACTTAATGTGTTGCCAAATCCTCGCTGGCAACTCTTGAAATTTTGGATTGCTCCAAATTAAGACGAATGTGTGTGCTGTAGGGCAGGCAGCCATTAAAACCACAAAGATTGAATCTCCATTGCTTAAAGGTAAAAAAGCATTGAATACAATGATAAGCACACAAATAAAAAATATGATGTAAAGGATAAGGAAGGAAAAAACTGACTTGATGGCTTTCATATGGGCCTCTAAGCTGGGATCCCCAAAGCCACTTGCATTATTTTGCATGTGTCTAGTGTGTATCCACAAAGACCGAATCAACAGGATATTTGAAACAACAGACAACATTAAAGGCAGACCAATACTGGCATTACAGAGGAGAATTAATAAACCCAAACTGTCATTCCATGTGGTTCTCCTTGCTGAACAGTTTGTCATGGGTAGAAGAGCAGTGATGTTCTCGTGCACGCTGTAGACATCCCAGGCAAAGGGAAGTGCAGCTGTGAAGGAGCAGAGCCATGATGTGAGCAGCATCCAGGGCACCAGCCTGGCAATTCTTAGCTTCAGCCAGATGAAGAAATGCTGTGTAA